GATTGAAAATTTTTTTTGATTGAAGATGCTTTTTGTTTGATTGGATGATAAAGAAACAAAGTTACCTCCATAGATCTCATGATACAAAATGTGAGAATCACTAGTTTTCTCCAACAGCAGACAAACATCACGTTTATGTGATAATGTTTATTTGTCATTAGAATCACATTAGGTTGAGACTCTGTTTCCTGCCTGAGCCAAAGTTCATGTGAAGCAAAACAAAGCTGAGCAGCAAATCAGTAACAGTCCCTTCGAAATAGATTCATATAGGTTAAAAATAAGAAAATGAAAGAACTTTAAAAACATTCAACAGGTGAGCACATGGTAAAAAAACATCAAGGTGCATGAGAACTCTGTAGAGTAAAGCTGTTAAATTACCACCTTGCAAACATCCTCAGATTCTTTCAGCAACAGCTACACAAGTGAAATGTCAAACACAAGCTGAGCTATAAATAAACAAACATTGTTGCTCAGTTACAGCAATTGTCTTCAACCAWACCACTATTTTATGAAACTGGTAAATGGCCTGCAAATAGTCCATTTACCATTACCATTTATGAAACTGTACATTTTTATGCATTGCCTTTTATTTAACCTGGCTGATCCCAATGACTTCACAGATCTCTTTTGCAAGAGAGGCCAGAAGGCAACATGTGCATGTTTTTTTTCATCTGTGGGAAGAAACAAGCGCTTGGAAAAAACCCAAACAAGCACAAGAACAACAAGTAAACTCCACGCAGAAAAACCCCGTGTTTGAACAAAGGGATCGGACGCAGGACCTTTGTGCTGTGAAGAATGAGTGTTAACCACGAGCTGCAAAACACTATCAGCCTCACAACAAACGTCAGTGATGCTGATGTAATACCTTTTCGCATCAAAAGGCCCAACATCACTTGAAATTATGCATGTTTTATAACATTTTTCATGCCAGAAATTTCAACTAAAATCATCTCATGGTGAGAAGGGACAGAGTTATTGCTGATGTGCAGTGTTGTATAAAGTACAACTCCTGTCAAAAAGTATGGAATCACCAGTCTTGRATGAGCACTCATTCAGACATTTCATTCTGTAAAACAAACTCAGATCAAAAACATGATACAATAATAAGGTCATTCCAAAGTGCAACTTGTTGGCTTTCAGGAACACTCAAAGAAATGAAGAGTAAACATTGTGGAATTAAGTGAATGTTACTTTTATTGACCAAGCACAGGGAAAAAAATATGGAATCACTTAATTCTGAGGAAAAAAATATGGAATCACTT